ATTATAGCTAAGCATCATGGGAAATGTGGTAGGCTTCACTTGCACGCGAAATGGCCGCCGCGAAGCGAGTATTTTGCATGCGAGAGAAATTGCTTTATTAAAGTACATTTTTTCCAGAGTATTATAGTTTAAATAGAAGTAATGTGTTTGTATTACATTGAAGTGTATTGTGGACGAAGTAAATCGAAATCGAAGCGAAAACGGACGAAATAATTGGAAGAAAGAAGAATGGCCTCGCAAATACGAACCGAGAGGAAGGTTCAAGTCTACATTCTAAGGTGAGTACGCTTGGTAGACATCGGACTCCTCGATACAAATACGTGTGACTTGTTGCTTGATTTATATCTCGATTTTCTCAACGATCCAGCGTTATCTCGCGATTTTTTCGCTTCTTGAAATTCTCAAATTCGGCCCATGATGTCTTTCGTTCGTTCGATAAGCATGGCCTCTAAAAGCAGTCTTTTAAAAAAGCCTTGAAAATGTTTTGGCGCGAAAGAAAACCAACCTAGCCGGGTTTTTTCCGCCCCAGCTCTGTTACGTTGCCAAAAGCATAAAAAAGAAATAATTTTACCGCTGTTTCTGCCGTTTATAATAATTTCTGCTTCCTTTGTTGTGGTCGGTTCATTTCCTATCAAAATAAACAAGTAGGTTCTAGCTAGTTAATTTTAAATATATTAAATTATTAAAATTTGCATAGTTTTGTGCTTAGTTAAATACAAATTTAAAGGTATTTAAAGGCATTCTAGTTTAATTTTGTTCATATAAAGCTGCAGGCAGTTTAGTGGACAAGAATATAAATATATTAATATTTTAAAATAAGGAGTAGGTTTTAAGGCTGGTCCTAAAAATTGAATTTCTACATAATTTTAAAATTGTTAGGATAGGTTTAAGTTAAATTAAATAAGTTTATATTATGGGTAATGAACTAGGAACTTCAATAGAGGCAGATACAATTAATTTGGCAGCAGACCTAGAAACTACATATTCTAGGAAAAAGCAAAATGGTGGCACTGGTGGAACAACTTGTTGTATTCCTAAATGCGATAGCAATACTACAAAAAAATCCTGAGCTATCATTATATCAAATTCCAACTGATATGAAGCTGAGAAATATGTGGTTACACTTGATTGGCCGAGCAAGCTTTAAACCTAACAAGTGCCACCGAGTTTGTTCAAAACATTTTGTGGGTGGCAAGAAGACACAATTGTCTTCACAATGTTCCAACAGTTGTGCAAAAAGTTTTGCTGCCTACACCAACAAAGCCCAGAACAACATTTAAATATGTAAATAGAAGAGACCCAAATGAGGATAGATGCATAATAAATGAACAGGCAGAACAGCTAACATCTTCAAGAAATAAAATTTCAAAACTTGAACATGTAGTTGAGACTCTTGAACAGAAAAACCAAGAATATGAAGAGGAAATTTCAAAGCTGAAGGAAAAGGTTCAGCAATGTGATTTTTCAATAGATCAATTTAAAAGCAATGATATTGCAGTGAGTTTGAGTTCTACACCGGCTTTTCCAATTATGGTACATTTAAAGCTTTCTATAACTATCTGTGTCCAGCATATATATTGTATCATCAAACAGCTCAAATCAAACTGCAAAACGTGAAAAGTGTGGGCCAAAGAGGAGGCTATCACCAGAGGACGAGCTGTTCTTACAAGACTCAGGTTGGGGTTATTGGAAAGAGATTTAGCAAATAGATTTAACTTGTCTAAATCCCAAGTATCTAGAATTTGGATAACATGGCTTGATTTTTTATACACACGAGTAAGATCCATTCCCATTTGGTCTTCACAAAATTATATTAGAGAAACCATGCCTTCCAGCTTCAAGGAGAGTTATCCCAATACTAGGGTGATTGTCGATTGCAAGTATTTATAGAAATGCCCTCACAACCAAGAAGTCAAAGTGCAACCTTCTCAACGTATAAAAACCATAACACTGGTAAAGGTTTGATTGGCATATCTCCCCTAGGGGTGCACCGGAACCAATTTTTTAAGATCCGGCTGGAACCGGATCTGGCCGGAAAATAGCCTTATCTCCTTTCTTCACATTTGGCTTGACCACAAATTGCCTTGGATAACCGGCCTTGAAAAGTCTGTAACCACTTTTTTATGTTTAAATGCTTCAGCATGCAGGCTTGTTGTCAGGTGTTTTTTTAGCATCCAGTACCAAATGTTCCTCTAATTTCTGGTATGAAAATTCTGAGATATTCTTTAAACTCTTTGTCCAACCATCCCCTAATGCTGCCAAATTTGTATCTGCCTCTATTGAAGTTCCTAGTTCATTACCCATAATATAAACTTATTTAATTTAACTTAAACCTATCCTAACAATTTTAAAATTATGTAGAAATTTAATTTTTAGGACCAGCCTTAAAACCTACTCCTTATTTTAAAATATTAATATATTTATATTCTTGTCCACTAAACTGCCTGCAGCTTTATATGAAAAAAATTAAACTAGAATGCCTTTAAATACCTTTAAATTTGTATTTAACTAAGCACAAAACTATGCAAATTTTAAACAGTTTTAACAAAGTTAAAAGAGGTAAATTTAATATATTTAAAATTAACTAGCTAGAACCTACTTGTTTATTTTGATAGGAAATGAACCGACCACAACAAAGGAAGCAGAAATTATTATAAACGGCAGAAACAGCGGTAAAATTATTTCTTTTTATGCTTTTGGCAACGTAACAGAGCTGGGGCGGAAAAAAACCGGTTTAGGTTGGTTTTCTTTCGCGCCAAAACATTTTCAAGGCTTTTTTAAAAGACTGCTTTTAGAGGCCATGCTTATCGAACGAACGAAAGACATCATGGGCCGAATTTGAGAGTTTCAAGAAGCGAAAAAATCGCGAGATAACGCTGGATCGTTGAGAAAATCGAGATATAAATCAAGCAACAAGTCACACGTATTTGTATCGAGGAGTCCGATGTCTACCAAGCGTACTCACCTTAGAATGTAGACTTGAACCTTCCTCTCGGTTCGTATTTGCGAGGCCATTCTTCGCTCCTCGCCTGTTCAACACCAATTATTTCGTCCGTTTTCGCTTCGATTTCGATATACTTCGTCCACAATACACTTCAATGTAATACAAACACATTACTTCTATTTAAACTATAATACTCTGGAAAAAATGTACTTTAATAAAGCAATTTCTCTCGCATGCAAAATGCTCGCTTCGCGGCGGCCATTTCGCGTGCAAGTGAAGCCTACCACATTTCCCATGATGCTTAGCTATAATGGGAATTGCCTATTAATCATCTGAATTGGATAGAAATATAACTCCTGGTTATGTTTAGTTCGGTGTCTTCTGCTGGATGAACAGGTAGGTCATTTTCGTCAGAAAATATATAATTTAACAACCCTCGAAAACGAGATCGGCATTCGGCAATGCCGACCTACAGTATTAAAATGCCTATGTTTTGCCGACCTTAATTCAGCCAAAGTAATAATCTTTTTTGGTGCTTATAGCTGTTAAAAAGTCAGCGATTATAGAATTCGATGCACTTTGGTGTAAGGTTTGAGAATTAACGGGTATATTTATGATATAATTTCGGAAAAACTCTAAAAGAAAAGACTTCGTGACATTTATACTTTTCAATGATTCGTAAATACGTGATTACTAGTGCAGGCTACTAGTGCTCCAAGACATGGAAACAGATTTTAAAAAATGCCGAGATGTGTCGAGCTAGGTCAGATTTAGGTCGGCATTTTTTTTCCGACCTCAATTTTGACGGTTTTCGAGGGCTGATTTAAAAATTAAAAGGTTAAAATTTGTGAATTCCTCCATTTTGAATTTTTTTACAGCAATAAAAAAAATAAAATTCAAAGTTTGTATCCTGAATGCTGATTGGCTAGTTGTAAATACTAGACTGATTTTCATTGGCTGTAGACAAGAGTGCGATTACAGCTCAGAAAAGGTGCGATTAATGCTCAAATCGCACTCCTGTAAACCAATGAAATTGCAGTACTTGCCACTGATTACAGAAGATAAATAATTAATGAAATAATTGCACTCCTCTTAACCAATCAGATTGCAGTAATTTTGTCATGTATATAATAAGTTCTCTAAACAGCATGCAGCCATTTGGCTTTCTAAATGAGGATTTATTTAGATCGTACGGTAACAATAATTCTGTGATTTCAAGCCCGGATTTTAATATTCGAAAGTTACTAACCAATGAAATGTGTTGATTTATCATTAATAATACTAGTTAAGGAGTAACCAATCAGATATCTTGCAATAAATCTGTATAACATCGACGTGACCTGTACAAGGTATTAATACCGACTCACAGGCGGTCTCTTGTGCAATCGAGAGTGTCTAGCTATATTATATATATATACTTGCAAAATCATGAATAATTAATAAGGCCACAAACAAATCACGATGTGGTATTTAGGTCACATGTGCACACTTGTAAACCGCATTAAAGATCAGAAAGTTGTGTTAGAGGGATGTTTATGAAAGTTAACAATACTAATTGAGAAGCATGGATGTTTATGAAAGTTAACAATACTAATTTAAGTTTTAATAGCATGCTAATGAAGCGTGAGATTGTCCCCATGGGCAGAGAATACTAATAAAGTAAACAAATAAATTCATTTTACAAGTACGTTAACATATTCGCAACTGATCCTTATGGGCATTTAACAATGGCTCACCCTGCGCGCTCGCCATTGCAAATGCCCAAAAAGATCAGCTGCTCATGTTTTAACTAGTACTTAAAATATCATTAATAATTCATAAACCTTGTGGCAGATCATGTCAGCCATAATATGTCACGTGGAGTGACTTTATATCCGATAAAACTAATCTTCATTAGTATTCTTTATATAATTCTTTATCCTAATTAGTATGATTATATAATTGTTCATCCTAATTAGTATTCTTTTGTAGTCGTATTTTAAGCTGTTCAAAACACTCCTTGTCGTGTTATATCTGATAAAACACTCCTACTCGTGTTTTAAATAGTACAAACAAATAAATTATACCTCTTCAATAGCTTTAGTCGACAAACGATGACCTGCTACATTGATGACGTCATCAGCTCTCGTCATTATCGATACACAACCACTGAAATCTATAATACCTTCATCCATTGAGTCATAATGGCCCTGACAACAAAAAATTCTTATTATTGCAATTTTGGAATGGATAATTATGCATCCTTTCATTCTAGCTTCGGTGAGTTCCTGTAGTTTAATCTACATTGTTTCATTTGAATGTTTTCTTTAAAAAGGCTTTCTTACGCCAGGCCTGATCCGCCATTTCTTGGGTGGCAAATAGCACGGCGAAAGTAGGGGACAACAAGCGAAGGAGCAAATCTAGTTAAGCAAAAACACATATACCATTGTTTTAAAATATTAAAGGAATACCGAATGGTTTTCCGTGCAGGATTGCGTGATTCATGCACGCGGGATGTTGCGAAACTTTCGGAAAGCGTAAAAATACACGAGCCGTAGGCGAGTGTATTTTTACGCTTTCCGAAAGTCGAGCAACATCCCAAGTGCATGGATCATGCTATCCTGCACGTGAAAACCATTTGGTAATTGTTTTATAAAATTACTACAGTGAAACGACGGTTAACTTGATTAAAATTACTGATGAAATGTGCAGTTCTCACAACAATCGTGAATTAACCAATCGGAGAATCGCTACTCCACGCTAGTGAAAACAACAACATATGTGAAAACAGAATTTGATCGCAAATTCGCGAAAATATACAGCGAAAATACAGGGACTTTTTCGATAAAATATACGAATTTTAAAATGGAAAACCTGCTAAACAGAGAGCCAAAGTAGTTTTAAAGATTTTCGACCTGAATATGTGAAGATTGCGAACCGTTTGATCAACTTTGAAGCGAGAGATGTTATACTTGCATGCCATGGTCAGATGAATTTCAACGCTACGCGTTGCTACTTGCTGAATAGCAATGTATCGATCAGAAATTTATTCATACAACTAAACCAACGTCTCAATAATTGCAAACGTACTTCAAAGTCGAAAGGTACCGTACAATGAAACTTTACAATGCGAGTATATTTGTAAAATTATGTGCAAGAATTTCTGTTCAGAATTTCCCGTGCAGGATTGTCTGATGCTGCACAGCTGTTGACCAATCAAATCGCGTGTTTCACTGTTATTATATAATACTATTTACTTTACTAAAATCAATCGTTTGCTTGTTGTAATCCTCTGTCCTGGAGTGAGCTGTAAGGAGTTCACACACTGTGCACTCCAAGCTTTTGAAATGACATCTCGTACTCATAAATCATTTCTTCAAATGAAGTGAATTATGCTCATATCCTAGAATTTTCTAGGTATCCAATATCATCATGTGAGCAAAATAAAGCAAATAGAATATGGTCGGCGACATAATATACGCACAAAATAGGCACAATATCAGCACGGACCCCATACCAGTTCAAAGTTTTGGTATTCTGCCCACTCAATGAATGGCTGTCGTTTTGAAACTGAACATAGGTCACTGTCAGACTGTACCCTGAGCCTGCGATGCCTTGATGGAATGTTTGTTACATCCAAAAGGCCCATTTTATAGTTCCGGCACTACCAGCCGTGTGTGTTGTGACGTTAGATGCAAGGGCTAAATTATAATTAAAATGAATGAGAAATTCACCATTCGCAATTGTCAACGTAGAAAAAACATGTAGACAATGCAAAAATCGGTTTATTACCGGATATTTTTCAAAATAACTTTCAAGAAACCTCTTGTCATTTTTCCAAAGAGTAGATGCAACTCCAGGTGGTAATGGAAGCCTAAATATAAGATATTAAAGATATTAAAACATTTTACTCTGGGCAAGGCCGCCAACAGGACGGGAGGCGGGGGGAGGTTTCCACGGATCCCAGCTCGAAAAGGTCCCCCAAATTAATCCTAGGTGCGTCAGTGCAGGATAATATGCTAAAGTGTAAAATATTTTTAAAAGTGTTTGAATCAACCATACACGAAGGACGAAAAACGAACGCTGCATTATGTTAAAATCATGATATAGACAATTATACATATAAACTCAAACCATCTGTACCAGCGTCGATACAGTAGCACCAAAAACACCAGGAAATAGAGATGGATAGGAATTCTTCGAAGTAAAACTTCGACGTTTCGAGCGAAGGCCCTTCGTCACTAACTTCCCCACGAAGGGCTTTCGCTCTAAACGTAGACGTTTTATCTGTATTTTTCAGGCAGTTGAATCCCAATCCATCTCAACTTTCTGATACACAATACATATTCCTTTACCGAATGACAATTTCTCCTTTTTTGCAAGATGTCAAATCTGGTTTGATGACACGAACTAGAAAATTCCATTTCAAAAATATACATCATCATTTACTCAATTACAAAAACTCAAGCTTAAACTCAACAACTTACGAGTAGCCTACTAGGCTACGAGCAAGCTTTCCTAGACAAGGTGTCGTGCGAACTTTTCAAAAAGGTTGTGTGTACGGCCGTCAAAAAGGTTTGTGTGTACGGCTTGTGTTTCCTAGACAAGACGTCGTGCGAAATTTTCAAAAAGGTTGTGTGTACGGCCGTCAAAAAGGTTTGTGTGTACGGCTTGTGTTTCCTAGACAAGGTGTCGTGCGAACTTTTCAAAAATGTTATGTGTACGGCCGTCAAGGAAAAGTCGACAAGTTGCGCAGTACATCAATGCGCAGACGTCTTGGAGCGGTCATTGCCATTAAGATTCGCTTTTGAAGTGTAATATCGCAGAGAGTTTCATCTGCTTTTAATTTTGTTGGAAGCAGCTTTGAACAAAAATTATAATGAAATTGTTAAAATCACATTTGTCATGCACACGAACAAGTAAACTCGTCAAGGAAAACTTGCTCTTCTTTTTTTCGTCTTTAATATAAAAATATTTGATGGGTATTGTAGATGTAAATTGTCGAATGGAAATTGTCCAGTGAGATGCCACAAAAATTTTGATATTTACCCATAACCTATACATGGCAGTACCCTAGTATATATACATGAACTTGTGGTTAAAGTTCGACAACTAACCTCTGTAGTTGGTTAGAAAGCCACACCCGAATCGCAGGGGCGCAGGTTCAATTCCTGCCAGGGACTTAAAGTTACATTTTTCGCTTCTGTTCCTAGTTAGGTGTAATAAATGTATATAAATTTCCACTAGACAATTTCCATCCACAATATACCCATCAAGTATTATTCATTCGAGTGAGATGTCACAAAAATCTTGATATTTGAAAAAGTATTTCAACGAATACTGCTTCTGGATATTAACATGCAGAATAAAAACGTGAGACTATGGTATGTTATAGGATCACTCATCTCAAAACGACGTCTGGAGAGCGGGTTCTTTTGAAATCAATTAACTAATTTTTAGTTTTGCAACAATTTTTTGAAAAACATTGACCTATAGATTCCACACCTCTTTGAATGAATTTTAGAAAGTCTCAAATCTATGGACAATGAGATCCAGAAGGCTATATTGGTGTCACCTACATACGTAAAAACGCACAACTTGTAACAAATATGCAGCAGACTTGTAGCAATGCTGTTCCAACAACTTGTCAACAAGATGTGGTCGCACTGCTTGTTCCCAGCTTGTTGACAAGTTGTCAACGACTTGTTGACAACTTACGACAAGGTTGTTGTACTCAACAGATTTGTTCCAACAAATTGCAATTCCAACTGCAATTCAACAACTTGTTAACAAGTTGTGAGTGACAACCTTTAACAATTTGACAAACTAACAACATTTTTACAACTTGTTGACAAGTCTGCTACAACCCTGTTGCGAACACATCTTGTTGACAAGTTGTTAGATTTTTACGTGTGTATAAAAGGCCATGTTAATCTGCTTCGATCCTTCTCCACTAATAACCATGCAGAAATTGTAAGAACGTCTTCTCGTTTCAACACCACCATACACATTTGCGGTTGTCACACATGCAAATATTGCCATCATTGGCTTCATTAATGCAGAGCAGATGTACTAACTATAGTCCTCGTTTTCAGATAAAGTGGTAACATAAAGTCAAAATGGAAAAAGTTTCAAGAAATACCATTGTAACCAGGAACCGGTCTTCCGGTGGTTTGCAAGTGTTCGGTAGCCACGTCTCCAAGTCCTACCGAATGAGCTGTAATTGGCCAACCAGTTTCTAAAAATAAAATAATGAAATATAATAATGTTTTGAATAAACGACACTAAGGCTTTGGGTAAAGGAGATTTAAACCAATTTGTGTCAATTAATTGACGTCTTAATTCTCACGATTTTTTCTTAATAACAGCTCAGTTATATATAGCGTTCATATGGAACAGCATGCAACTGTAATTAGCCTTTCTCACACCATGCGACAAGGCCTTACCCATCATTTTGGGCAATTTTCCGTATGAGAATATATATTACTTCCATTCCATAAACAGAGGATACAGAAAGCACAACTTAAAAGAGATAAACCATAATTATCCTCGGCTGCGTTCAATATAATTCTGAACACCAGCTCTGACAATTAATATGTCAGGCCAACCTATCTTTTGGTCAGACATTAAATATTTATAGGAGTCGATAGGACTCAAAAGAGAAAATTTATACAGTACGGCTGCGTTGTAATTATTACACTTGCATACGATATTTGAATATAACTTTAATATAATATAGCAGCTCGTTTAAACAATTACCTCAACAATATTACGAAACTGAAAGGAATTTCAATTGACAAATCATATTAGCATACTTATTTATATATTATATTCCAATTAAGTACTAAATTCCTTTGCATGTCTGACGAATTGGTAAGAATGAGAGAAACATTTTGATTCACAAAATGAAACCTTTTACAGTACTCAATACAGATTATAATAGATAGATCTAGGAAAATGTTCATGGTGAAACATCAAAGAAAATGATGGAATTTTTAAACGTGATAATTTGAAACAAACAAAATTTTAAAAAGTACGCTAAATTAGTACCTGTTACGAGTCAATAGATATTAAGCTGTCACATCTACACATTTTCTACGTCTGTCTAATCTGAACAACTGCTATATAAACTGGCTAAAAACAATAAAAAGCGAATAAATATACATAAAGGCCTTGATGTATAAACATAATCATGAATATATTTAGTGTGCGGCAACAAGGAATATTTTGTATACTTAATATTATCGAAATGCATAATCTAACTGAAATGGCATACAAATTGTTGAATCTTATCATAGGTGCATACAGTATTATCTATGATTTTCGATTAATCGGACGATTTCGATTAATATACATAAAAAATTTACTCGATTCTGATTGGCTAAGAGTAGTACAATTTTATCTTAATACAGTGAATTCAAAGTAAATCAGTATCAGTACTAAAAACTAATATGTGGTTGTATACAACAACGACTTTAAACAAGTTTATAAACTTGTTTAAAGTCGTTGTGTTACTCAAATGGCATTGGAAAAAATACTGAAATTCATACAATGGAACTTGTGAATGCATAACTAAATCCACAGTATATCCATACTATTTCATAGTATGAAAATTGCAGTATGAAAATTGGATTTCCATACTATTTTTAACTAAGATCCATACTATATCCATAGTAAGAATTTTGAAAAAAATATTCCAGTGTGGTGAATAAATTACTTATTTCGCACGTGTTTTATGCATGCAAGTGACTATGAATTTGCTTCTGCATGATTTTTCATGTATATCGTTGAAAAGTAATGGTATGGTTTGAATGGTTTCTTCTTTGATAAACTCACCAGTGCGCAATCGTGCATGTATTTTTTTTTTCAAACTGCACTCGAAACCATACTATTTCATATACTGATAAAACTCTGTACTAACCTGTCTGCCACCAGTGATCCAACACGGGACACTTCATGACATTACTTGCCCATTTCAAAGTGTCATTGTCACAATGTTCTCCAGCAAGAAATAAGTTGCGAAAACTATAAAAAAGTTTAAAAATTATCATTAATCACGATCATATTATTCATGCATAACCAAAAACGTCAAAAATATATGATTCAAACTTCGTCTGTTTTGTATTAAGTTCGGCAAAAAGCTATTGAAACAAGCCTTGTGATACATTTTTGAAATCATTTTGTATTACAATTGTATTTCTCCCAGATTCATACACGGTAAGTTTTTCTTTCAAAATGTCCTGCTTTTAATTGTGGTGTCTTTTTCTGTTTTCGAAACTCGGAAGTGAGAAGAATATTCAATAAAAGTTCATTCCAAGCTTTAGTTAGTTAACATTGATTCAAAATAACCACTTACAAGACAAAACTTTCCATACGTACACGTTTCGTATTACACTGAAACAAACTATACAGTATATTGTATGCTTTGGAATTAACCGTGCTATCTGCAAAGATGATGAATGTATTATGTATACGCAGCCACGTATAGGCTGACGTAACCTGGCACTTACTGAGATAAGTTGTACTTCTTTATTATTTTTCCATCAGGGTCCTAGAAAGAGAACGATTCTGAACAATTGTCAAGATTTAAAATATACAAGGTTTAGTTTAATAACTATATGATATATGATATTTAACAAATATAAATATTTTCCGTGTTGATACATAGTTGGTAAATTACAGTTGTATAACTGAATTGCTTACGAGTATTTACAATTGAATTATTTCATGCAAAGAAATAACTATATTTACAATAAAAACTATAGGCTATAATTGACACGAAATAAAGTTAAGAATTTATACACTTATACTATTAGATATAATGAAGGAGTTTTTAAAACGTTCTTTTCGAAACTTAGGGACTAGAAATTTATGACATTTCCTTAAGGGATATGTACACCCGTTTTCTTCTGGGATCATTTGATGTAGTTTATGCTTGGTATCCAAGTGTGCTTGAAGGAAATGTTTTTTACATGCTGCTTCTCTTCTGTTTCGTAAGGTTTCTAGATTGGCTAATTCGAGCGCCTCTTCATAAAGAGCTTTCAGCAAATATCCTTCTTAAACACCGTCTTTGGATCCTTTCGATATCTGAACTCAGGTACTGCGGTAGGGATAATTCAGCCATATTCGAAATTGCCCACGCTTGTACTGCGTCAACTGATTCCTGGATACGACTTTGATCTTTTTTAGAAATTGTTTCAGACAAGGTTGTGTCGTCCACATATTTCCACAGACTTTGATCAACACTTAACTACACCAACAACAACAACAAGATGTTGTTGTTGGTGCAGTTAAGTCGTTGATCATTAAAATGTACAGCCACGGGCCAAGCTTTGTTCCTTGTGGTACCCCCTGAGAGAACGTTACTCCAGTCGGAGAAACAACCATTGTTTAATTTAACCCTTTGCTTCCGATTAATTAGGAAATCGATAATCCAATTAGCTTTCGAGGGATTTCAATTTAAGAACCAGTTGATTATGATCAAATGCTTTTTAAATGCTTTTCGGAAATCAAACAGTACCATGCGAACCAAGTTACCAGTTTGATCAGCAGCTTGTAGCCATTGGTGCAGCATTGAAACAAGGGTTACAGTAGTCAGGGCCGTCCCGAACACTGTTTATTGGGGGTGAAACAGGTTGATCTACCTGATTTTTTTACCATATCACATTTTACCTGAAAATATTTCCCGACAAATATTGAAATAAAGCTAGCATAAACATGATTTTACCAACGCCTTGACAACGTGTTTGATAATATGTTTCCGAGTGTTCCCGAGTCACTTAAAGTTTGGACACGCGTGTCCCTCGCGTAACAAAACTCGACAAATTTAAATGTTAATAATAGTTTATATACTAATATTATACCTCAAATTCAAATTGTCTAATCAGGAAGTTTAGTTTGTGCCAAGTGAGCATGAAATTAATCGCGATATCACGCCGTACGTCATCAATTAGCGAGCCTGCGTTCTTTTTGACAATGTTCCACCCCATGTTCCCCGGGGAACATGGGGTGGAACATTATTCGCGTAGACACGCGAGACAACACGCCACGCATAACAACAACATGGCCGACAAAATATAAATAGTATTAATGAGTGATGAATAATCAAATTTTAAACGTAAAACCTGGGGCTTTTTCAAAATTTTGAAGCAAATTTTGAAAAATGTTGTCATTAATATTCCAAACGATATGCGATTCGAAAGAAAAGGGACGATACTTGCGTTAATCCGAAAATAAAACATCGTATTCACGAAGGCATGTGTCAAGTTTTTAATTCTCAACTTGGAGGATTTTAATTTTCGGAATAATATATCATTTATAGACCCTCCGCTCGGGGGATTCGGCGAAATATTACCCTCAGTAATGATATTTATATCATCACTTCGGGTAATATTTCGCCGAATCCCACGAGCGGAGGGTCTATAAATGATAAATATACTCAGTTTATTAAATTTATAGTTTCTCCCTTCTGTCTTTTAGTAGGGACCACTTCACCGCTAACTTCTTCAAATCAATGTCATGTGTTAAATTTCGTTCTACTGCAAGCAACATGCAATCATTTAGTCGTGTCGTACCCATGGTGCTGCGAAGGTGGTTTTTGATTCTTCTCAATGCGCTGAAAGATCTCTCATTTTTACAAACAGACGGCGCAGCTGTGAGGAAAAGCTGGTAAACTCTTGAAACGAGTTTGAATAAACCGTGCTTGCTAGCTAACGATAAGGCGATGTTGGCGGCTCTTGTGATTCGACATGGTTGCTTGTCATCTGTATGGAATTCCCCTTGGACTCTTTGATGGAGATGTTCAAAGACTTTGAATTCGTTGTGCAAAGTGGCGAAGGTGTCTTGCGAAAATACCGAAGGTAATGCAGCCACCAATGCTCTCGCATCGTCCAAGCTACCAGGCGTGTCTGGATCAATGACTTTCAGGAATGGTTGAAATACATTCGTGAGGGACTGAGATTTCTCTCCTAACGTTGATATAAGAGAGTCTATAAACTTGAAAAATTCGCATCTGTAAAAGGCCGTTATATCATTAAGCAATGGTGTAGCTGTTGAAGGATTGTCGTTTAAACGGCGTGACCGTCTTCTGAGTCGGTGCAGTCTGGAAAAGTCGGCCATTGGCTCTATGCCAAGGTTTCTAGCGACGATAATGGCGGCTTCAATCTCATCATTGATCTCATTGTCATCGGCACGCATTCTTTTCAGAACGCCATCCGTTGAACGCATGGCACAGTCTCACCTTGTAGAAAGTCGGACAACATCTTCGTCTTGAACATTACATTCTTCAAAAGCATAATCCCACAAATAATATCAATGTTGCGAACAGAGTTAAGCAGATTAGCCGCCTTGGTCTTCGTTTCTCAGTCCTTCGAACCTTCCAGGATTTCCAAAACATCAAGTATAGCATCAAGACTCCGCCAAACATCTTTCACAGACTCAGCACGTGCTGACCATCTTGTCTTTGAAAGATTGCGAAGCATCAACGCGTTTTCAATTTCTTCGAGTTTGTCCTTTAATTCTTTATTACGTTTGGTGCTCTTGATAAAAAAGACAAAAATATTTTCTAAGGTGGCAAATGTCTTACCAACCAATGGTGATTCCTGGCAACCATGCTCTATCACTAGATTAACGTCATGTGGGGCACACTTAATGTACGGTATCTTACGCTCGAGAATTTCAGTAAATTTCTGCTGCGCGCCTTTGTGAACTCCGGACATACTAGATGTTGAATCGTATGTCTGGAACTGTACGGTTGATAGCGGTATGTCTGCGCTTTTCAAACTGTTCCCTTCTTGTTCCCTTCTTTCAAACTGTTCCCGACTTCCCTTCAATTTGGGCCAATCATCAATTCCTGCAGTCCATGCAGGGTCGCCCTTCTCACGTTCCAAACCTCGCTGAAAAAGGCTGCAAACGTAGCAGTAGACTTTATCTTTCGACATACTGTATTCTAGATACGGATAATCCTTATACCATACTGGTGAGAACGAACACTGCTTGCCTTTCTTTGCTAAATCAGTGTTCTTTGGATATGCTGACAACTTAGGTTGACATGGACCAATACGAGTAAGATAGTCAACTTGGGCATCAGTTAAGTTTTCTGGTCTTCTTGCAGGATCATGTTCAACTAGGATATCTTGGTTAGTATTAAAGCCAAGTTGTTCATCAGGAATACTTGCTATTTCTTGCAATTGAATCTCAGCTAAATTCTGGGTTCCTGTGTTGTGGCGAGAATTTCTTTGCACAGCTCTTTGACTTCACTGGACGCTGATTCGTAGTGAATAACAGAGCCATTTGTGCTACTACTTACTAGGTTGGTAATTTTCTCGGAGCAATTTCGCAGTTGTCCTAGACATTTGAAGTATGCTTCAGAACACGATTCCACATTATCTGCATCAGGTGCATTTAGTGATATTTTATCAACACATGGATGTGGTTGAGATGTACATTCACTCGATGTAGAAATCTTTGGTGGACCAAGTTCTAATATATTATGTGATTCACGTATTTCGTTGTCACACGAGCTTGTCGAATCTTTCATCATATTATCATTCGCTACATTTGATTTAGAACTTTCAGCGATAACTGTAGACTTTCCACTTTCATCATCAGTCCGGCAAATTTCCATCACTTCCTCAATAGGGGTCTTATTTGGGTATTCGTCATCTCTGGAAAGTTCCCTCTCAGTAAACTCCTCAGAGGAGCTTAAGGGCATCTCATCGTCTTGCTGCTGATTCTATTTGAGTTAAAATGAAATAATTATTACAATTGGGATTTAGAATAATCGAAAAAATTTGACAACATCGACATGAAGTGGACAAGAAAAGTAATGTTGAATGATCTTAATCAGTTAATCAACACCACATATTCTTTTATTATTTGCATGTTTTTTTGAAGCAGATATTTAAACAAACAATTTCAGGGAGGCGATAAGGCAAAAGCAGATATGATTCATATAAAAAAGAGAAGTTTGACTTACCTGAGGAATCTGGCCAGCTATCTTATTAAAATTGAGCAAAGTTTGGCCCCTCTCTGAAATTTCTCTGAATGACGGAGCCAGACCTTCATGTTTGGCTGCCTGATGATATTTTGTATTATCACCATTTAAAACTTTATCACACCGTAAACATACTACTTTTTTACGATTTGACCTTTGGTCCTCCGTTTTTTGGCGTTTTGATCGATCTAAACCAATGGTATAATTTACATAAATACACAAATAAAAAGGCACCGATTCATGATACACAAAACACACATTGCGTGATCGCCATAATGCAAGGACAATATTGTAAAAAGCACATACCAGTACCACTCATAATGATTTACTCTCACGATTTACTGCTCGCAAACGGACTGTACAATTTTATTTGCATATTATTTACAATATGACCATAATTTCTGCCATATTTAATTTTGAACGACTGAGGAGAAACCGCTGGTTCTTGTATCGTTTTGTCAGATGTTGGAATTGACAGTCGCCCATGCAGGCATTGCAATCGTGTTTTATTACTTGTATTCCAACTATTTCGCTAAAAGTACACGTCAATTTGTTGTTACTGTTAAATTACTTTCCTCATGATACATTTTAAAATATCTAAATTCTGAAATTGTTGTTTAGATATATTGCTAAGCAACCAAAGATTTTACCTGATTTTTTTGTATTATAAATTTCGGATTTACCTGAAAATTGTTATTCTGTCTATCTAATTATCATGTCTTTCTAAAATGAATTCTTCTGCTACCTTCGATAAAATTGGGGTTAGTGAAATCGGACGAGGGTGTTTGTTAATGTTAGTTACTTGTGTTTCCTTAGGAATTGGTGATATATTAGCACTTTTCCATATTGAGGGCAATTTTCCTTGGTTGTAGGAACAATTCAAGATTACACTAACTGGGTATGCAAGGACTTCAACATAGGCTTTGTAAACCCAAGGAGAAATGCCGTCAGGACCCGAAGATTTATCCGGGTTAAGGGATTTTAGACTTTTGTACGTGTCGAGCTCGTTTACTTGCAAAGATGAAGTATTTAGGTTAAATATTTCAGATGTATTGTTAGTTTGAGCTTGAATCTTTGCGGACTCGTCAAGTGGAGTATAAGCTTGTTGTGGATCCAAAAATGAATTGTTAATTGAATTTGCGACATCTTCAGGAGACATGTGATCAAAGTTATCAATTGCGTTAGCAAGAAGCGAAATTAGGTCACTGTGATTGTTTTCCGGTGAATGCCCACTAATTCGCTTGACTTCCTTCCACCAATTCTTTAAGAGGTCTGGAGTTTTTTAAATTGTGTACTTTGGACAAATAATATTTGCTCCTACATTTCTTTCTATTCCGATTAACCAGATTTCGATAGTGCTTGAATAATGTTACATTTCCCTCTGCTAAGGCCATCTGACGCTTCTTAATCTGTGATTTCAAATCTGTGGTCATCCACGGTGCGTCGTTACTATGTATCTTTATGACTCTTTCAGGCATAATATTATCTAAACCAATTGTGATAAAATCTTCAAGTAACTTAGCTTTGTCTTCTACTGAAACAACAGAGTGGAGCACTGATCAATCGATTGAGGAAAGATAACGACCAAGTTGCTGTTTATTAGATGGTCTCAGGTCCCTGCATTTAATTTAACTTATCTCTGAAATTACAGTCCTGTTGCGATTTTCGCATCCACCTAGGGTGTTTCTGAGTATAACCATGTCTGGGTTGCCGTTCGACGTGCTCTTGGTCATGTTGTATTCCAACACTCCGACTTTTGCAAAGCATATTACCAATTTCTTTAATTCGAGAAGTGTTATCAAAGATATGTCAGTTAACTAGTTCCAGAGTTATTTTATAAAAGAGCACCATGTCGAGATATTCATGTCAATCAGATTGGTAGAAGAACAAACGTTTGAAGTCTGGTAGTAAACAGCAAGCGTACATGAATCTGCGCAAGGAGATTAATGGGGCTTGATGGTGATGTTAGTTTTATTATAACATTTTGCTGTCCCCCTCTGAATAATGTAGCTAACACGGAACAATTGAAATCATTATGCATTATTTAATAGTAAATTTAGATGTCAAAGTGAAATACTATCGTTTTCAAAACAAAACAAAACAATTAACAATTATAGGATATTTATAGGAGATTAAATACCATTTAAACTGATCAAACTTTTCAAACATTACTGTGCATGGGTCATTGCAGACTACTACATACTTTTTCTAATTGCTTTATACTACCATTTAGGCCGTATTCTGTGGCACGAAAAGTCACTTAGAAAATGAATTCCGTTGCCATGGTTCGGGCACTACTTTGAAACAAGATAAATAATTAGGATAAATCATACAAAGTCCAAATCCGCTTGTTGGCACTTCTCAAAACCTGCAGTTTTCGAGTATTTCTTCTTCGAAAACTCAAGAAATTAACATCTTTCGCAATCAATCGCCGCCATTTTTGTTCAGGATACTTGGTGTAAAAAATACTATAAATGGCAATTTTCGCGGGCTCACACTCGTTCTTACATGAAGTTTCCAGCTTAGCATTTGTAAACATGGCGTCTTCTCATTCATGTTTACATTCATTTTGTATCAAAAATTTTTAGATTGTCGTAGAATTTGGCTAATGCTAGACAGGGACGAACGCAATGTTGCTCAAAGAAGTTTGCAATTTGTTAGCGACAGCATGGAAAGTAGCATGCACGGTTGAAAGTATCGAATATGCAAATTTGAAATTTCTATTTTAAATATTATCGAGGTTGTTACTCGGCATTCACAAATGGTAGGTAGGTAAAACTTTATTTCACCACGCTAACCTCTACAGCAGAAAGCTGATTTTCAGGGGGGCGTGGGAAATAGCAGTATGATCAAACGAGTTGTCAGAGTATGTACAGAGAAGGTGTACCTTCATCCTCTGGTATCGATATTAATGATGAAGAAACGGAATCAGATGAAAGTCCACCCGTAAAGAAAATGCTGAGATCTATCGCCTACACACGTAAAAACGCACAAGTTGTTACAAGTCTGCAAACAAGTTGTTATATATCTCTTCACAAGCTGTCGACAGGTTGCCTTCACGATCACACTGCTTGCTCTCAGTTGTTGTAACAAGTTTGGAACAAGCTGTTAACAACTTGTAAGAAGCTTAATGGCATTATCAGTCTTGTTACCAGGTTGTTCTAACAAATCTGATACAGTCATGATATAACAAGAATGTTACAAGGTTGACGACACCAGGTTGTAACAATATTGTTCTATCATGACTGTATCGGACTTGTTGGAACAACCTTCCTACAAGTCTGAATTTTGTCCCAAATTCTTATAGGAATTTTTCTTATAGGAATTCCTATAGGAAATTTTCGTAAGGGAGCTGAAGGGAATTCAATCAATATATAATTATAAAACACATATTTGTGATGTTACTCCGAGTGTATATCCACACTGGGCAACTTGGAAAATATGCCTGCCCACGGTGGGATCAAACCTATGACCTTTGGAATACTAGCCCAATGCTCTGCCAACTGAGCTACGTGGTCAGGTCGGTTCGAGTATGTGATATTTCGGAACCGAGTCTAGTTCTCAATGCAATCTAGATCTCAGCATTTACAGTATCTTTACAGGTCCCAGGTGGAGTTTCACCTGATTCCGTTTCTTCATCATTATTAATATCGATACCAGAGGATGAAGGTACACCTT